GACTTATAAGTTCATTGATTTTGCATGCTTATTTTAAAGTAGCATTTATTTGTTTCAGTCCATTTAATTATCTCATATCATATCTATGCCGGTATTTATCCCACATTGGTCATCATAGAATTTTAAGATATAGTAAACTAATTTATTTATGAGAAGAAACTTATTTTTAATGAACAATATTTAAAAATTCATGCATGTGTTTTAGAGAACAGCCGCTGCTTTAACGAGCCTGGCAAGAGGACTTATTGCTCTTCCAAATAATATATAGTTACACAGGCTTTGTGCTTTATCAAAATGATCTTACTTTAACTTGCCTACCAGAAGTATAGTAGAGTTTAGGAGTGGCTGTATGGACATTTTGTGTGCCTAACTGAACCTAGGCCTATGTACAGAACCCTATTATAATATTTATACGTACTTGAGATAATGCCATGATTTTATTGATTACAAGAAACTTTATCAGTTGCACCTTTGGGGTTGGGCTTCGGGTGACCATATCTGGCTTGTGGGTTTGACAACAGCAATAACAACAATAATTATAATAATAATAATAATAATAATAATAATATAATATAAATATAATATGATAATATATATATATAATATATATATATATATATATATATATATATATATATATATATATATATATATATATATATATATATATATATATATATATATATATATATATATATATTAATTGGTAGCAGTCTTTCTTGTAAATATATGTTGTTAAATATGACCGAAAAAGTAAGATTAATAATTCTAACACGAATTTTCTCAATATTTCTTATGTTTCTTTTACAATTACCATCGACAGTAAAAAGAAGCATAAGAAATATTGAGATAATTCGTGTTAGAATTATTAATCTTACTTTTTCGGTCATATTTAACAACATATATAAATAATTGTGCTTGGAGGGAAACATTAATGGCCTGGATGGGTGAACTACGGTGTCGTACTCTCCAGCTTCTTCACCTGATGGGAAAAGCACCAGCCACGGTGCTGGCGGCTCCTGCAGGTCGGCGTTCTATCCCCTACGGACCATGTGGTTGGGGGGCACCATTCCTGCCCTCCGTCCTATCCCAGATCCTTGTCCTCACGTCCCTTCCAAGTGTTGTATGGTCGTTCAGACTGAGTACTTTCTCCACATAATTACCTTACCTAATTGCTCTTCATGCATTGCATTTTACTTTAACGTATACATAAATAACCAACTTTACTTTACAGCAGGAGAATAAGAGCAACTAATGATGATTTTAGCTTTTAATTAGAACAATTATCATAGGTTTAACAAAGACTCGGATCACATAGACACATCTGTAATGCTATCACTGGCCACAGGAATCATAGTAGAAATGGGTCATTCTATACCAAGACTGTTATAGATAATGAATCACTATATAAATGGATTGTTAGACTAAAGAACTACAGGATCATTGAACCTCTAGAGAACTGAATAACTGGAACATGGAATCAACGAACCATTGAGTGACTTGAAGAACTGAGGTTTAAAGAACAAGCTCACAGAACCTCTGAACCACTGGAGAACAGTGAAGCGGGAATATCAAACAATGGATCACTGGAGAACTAGAGAACATGAACGCAACTATGGGACCATTAGTGAACGGGGTATCAAGAACACGTAACAAATGGACCACAAGAGAACTAGAAATGTGGAAGACAGAATAAATAGATCACCACAAAAATGGGTACATAGAACCAGTAGCTCACTAGAGCAGTAGATAACTGGAACAAAGGACCAAAGTTCACTAGAAAACTGGACCACAGAACCAGTGGGTCATTGAACCACTAGAGAACTGAAGCCCAGCACCACTAGACTCCCGTATTACACTCTAAGTCAGCAAGTAGAACACATAACTAGAGAACAACCAACCTTGAGAGAACAGGAGTAGAGAACTCAAGAGACAGAAGAACACAGAACCAAAGTGGTACTGGATCACTAGAGAACCAGCCAACTAGAACAGGGTTCTCATGGGGCTGCTAGAACACTCTAGCAGGCCACCAATGGACCAATATACAAATGGTCCACAGGACCACTGGACCTGAGGGCCACTGAGTTATTAGCTCTAAAACCTGCCCTACCTTCAAGTATACATGTCACTGGTACTACAAGGAGACAGTATACATGTCTTTGGTACTACCAGGAGAGTATACATGTCTTTGGTACTACCAGGAGAAACTATACGTGTCTTTGGCACTACCAGGGAAAAGTATACATGCCAAAGACATGTATATATATATATATATAGACATATATATATATATATATATATATATATATATATATATATATATATATATATATATATATATATATATATATATATATATATATATATATATATATATATATATATATATATATATATATATGGCAATACCAAGAGAGACAAATCAATCAATCAACAAAAAATATAAATTTCAACATGCCTACATTATTATAGTTGATACAGGTGTATATATATGCCTCTTGAACATTGATAGGTCTGTGTGTTGGCGTGTAAATCTCTCTCTTAAGACACTGAGAGGTTTGTGTTGGTGTATAAATCCCTCATACAAATTGAGGGTGTTTGTATGTTGGTGTATATATCCCTCTAAATGCATTGAGAGCTTTGTTTTGGTGTATAAATGCCTCATAAAAGGTTGAGAAGTACGTGATGGTATATAAATGCCTCTAGTCTATATCTACATCATAATATAAAAGTTTAGTTTCTCCCAAATCCTCGTCAAATATCCGCCTACTATAATTCACTGTAGGAGTTACCTGAAGTCAAGATTGCAGATTTCAGTAAGAAAATACGAAACGGGAGGTGCGATAAAACTCTGGGTGTCGTACGATACTTCACACAATGCACAGTTTTCTAGAAGACACAGCTTGGCTGGTCATTACCTTTGCGTTAGTTGCTGATGGATTGGGGTCGTGTTCTTATAAATGCTGTGGCCTCCTCTTCTAACCAAAAACGTTGAGATATGTTGATTCACCAACATTAAAGAGGATAGTTCCAGCTAGAGCCCGTCTCTCTCAAACTAGTCTGATATTTACTGGCAAATAAGATGATTTGAGAAGGGTCCGTGTAGGACCTCCCACCACTCCTATATATATACTTTCGTACAACTGGAACACTGAGAAGGACTCTTGAAGGAACACTCGCCCTTCCATATCCTTTCTGCAACTCCAACACTGGCAAACATCACTAAAGGCACACTGTCACTTCTCCCACATTCAACCCGTCTACTTATCAATGTTAAACCAATATTCTACCACAACAGTGGAGTGGGTCACCCTCGCCATCAACCTTAGCATCGTCTACCACACAAGGTTCTGGTTGTGGTAAGCACTAAGAAATGGCTCGTCTGCCTTTATCTTACATTCAACCAGATTGTGTATTTAAACAAATCCTGTTTCTAGTACAAGTAACTTTACCAAAATACTCTAGCTCGCCAAAACTGTTAAGGGTAATTATAGGTGTTTCTTTAAGTAGCCCAAAAGCCTTGAACCACTTGCCACACTGAGGCTCCTGTCATATTAGTTGTGACATTATTCTTACCTTAAAACAAAAAAGTATTACCATAAATCTGATCATGGTTTTCTTCCAGCCTCGCCTTTTAAAAGAAAACCATCTACAGTCGAAAAACATCAATTGGTTCGTAAAGGATTTATTAAGCATCCATCCTCCTGTTTAGGTAGAACTTATAGTAACGATGAGGACCACAGAACATATATTGACGTAAAAAGTAATTAGAAAGTAGCAGTCGATACTACTGAATTTGGACAAACCGAAAAAGGTTATGAATTTATGTTGCAAAGACTGCCTAACCTAACCTAACCTAAACTATCCTAATCTAACCTTCCTAGGCGTAATACTTGCTATCAGATGCCTAATATAGTTCATATATGTGCTATACTAGGCCTAGGAATATTTAAGAATAGTCTACTATCAGTAGACTATACTAGGAATAGTCTACTAACGTGTTGCCTTATACATCAATATATGTACGTTGGTGCACATTGTTACAAAATACTATCTAAACAGGAGGATGGGTTGTATAAAGATATTACTGTCTGGTCTCCGTCGCTGTTTGAGGTAACTTTAGATATTACTGACTCGTGTTTCATCACTCTTATGTTGGGTAGGAAGGCTAATCCTGTAGCTTCGTGGTATTATTGCTGTGTATGGGTTTACTATGTATATTTACTATTTGCATCTGCAGAATCGAGTTATTAGCTCTTGGACCCCGCCTTTCTAACCAATTTATTTTTCATCTATTATGTCTACTACATATATTTCTCAAACACACACACACACACACACACACACACACACACACACACACACACACACACACACACACACACACACACACACAGTTCACTAACGTTCACTAACGTAGTTCACTAACGAAGAGGCAGTGGATTACATACTGCATCACAAACACTTACTCAGAGGTAGCGAAAATTACTACAACGTATATATTGATAAATTCATGATGAAAGAGGAACAGATAGCCCACAGAGCGAGCTAACCTCCTCGATACAACCCTTCCCATTTGAGCGTAGCTACACACCCCAGTGCTAATCCACCCCGTGCTAACCAGCTCACACCTGCTTCCCAGGTCACTCCCTCCCCAAATCAGCCCTCCCTGCCCCTGCTTATCTCCCCAACACCTCCCCTGACCCCTCTGACCCCACTGCATTCAAATCCATCTGCTTCATCCCACATTCCAAGGACCCCCTCATCCCCTCAACCCCCAAAACCCACCCAGCTTCATCCCCTCAACCCCCAAAACCCACCCAGCCCTCATCCCCTCAACCCCCAAAACCCACCCAGCCCTCATCCCCTCAACCCCCAAAACCCACCCAGCCCCTCACCCCTCCAATTGCCCTTTCCTTCCATGTGACCCCCCACCCCCTCTATCTCCCCCCCAACCTCTCAACCTCTATCTGACCCCCAACCTTACGCTATCTCCCAACTCCTCTATGCCTATCAACTAGACTGACATAGTTGCAATTGTGGAAACTAAAATTAACGACATGATGTCAGATGCAATCTTTCCAGAGGGCTACCAGGTGATACGAAAAGAGAGGGACACAGAGACAGGGAAGGGAAGTGGCACTCCTAATGAAGCAGAAATGTAAGTTTGAAGACCTGGGAGATCGAGTTAGCAATGAGTGCACAAGCTCTATACATGGAACTCTGACAGCAGATTGGGAGGAAGATTGTGATCTTCGTAATCTACAATCCCCCTCTAAACAGCAGACGACCCAGGCAGGAGTATGATGACAACAACAAAGCATGTATAGATGAACTGCAGAAGGCAGCAACACTAGCCCACAGAATGAGAGCGAAGCTGCTGGTCATGGAGGACCTAAATCATGGAGAGATAAATTGGGAATCAAGGAATCCCCATGGAGGGGACGAAACGTGGGGAGCAAAGTTAGTAGATGTTATAGACAGTAATTTCCTAACACAACATGTGAAGAAAGACACAAGGGAAAGAGGAGGAGATGCACCGAGCCTATTAGACCTGATTTGCACCCAGAACGTAGAAGATATCGAGAATTTGGAGCATTAAATACCTCTAGGGGCCAGCGACCATTGTGTCCTAGTCTTTGACTACATGATGGAATTCAAACTTGTGACCATGGGACAAGAGGTCTGGGAAAGGAGAGTTGACTACAGGAAAGGGGACTACAGGAGGATAAGGGACTATCTGGAAGAAGTGCAGTGGGAGGAAGAAATTAGAGGAAAAACAGTCCAAGATATGATGGACCTAGTCATACAGAAATGCCGGGAGGTCGAAGTGAGATTTATACCAACATTAAAGGGAAAAAATAAGAGGGAATATATTAACCCATGGTTTAATAGACAGTGTCAGGAAGCAAAAATGGTCAGCAGGCGGGAGTGGAGGAAGTACAGAAGACAAATGACAGAGGACAACAGGATCAGATGCAACAGAGCTAGAAACGATTACATTACCATAAGAAGAACATCGGAAAGGGACTATGAGAACAATATTGCAATCAAAGCGAAAAAACAACCTAAGTTACTACACAGTCATATAAGAAGAAAAATGTCGGTGAACGACCAAGTGACAAGACTAAGGAAGACAGAGAGGGCATATACTGTAAGTGACAGCGGTAAGGGACGAGAAGTCGGATTGGCGAACAGTAACGAATGGAGTTCCTCAAGGATCGATGCTGGGACCAATTCTATTTCTTGTATATGTTAACGACATGTTTACAGGCGTAGAGTCCTACATGTCGATGTTCGTGGATGATGTAAAGTTGATGAGAAGAGTTGTGACAGATGAGGATTGCAGGATCCTCCAAGAGGACCTGCACAGGTTGCAGAGATGGTCAGATAAATGGCTACTGGAGTTCAACACGAGCAAATGTAAAGTTATGAAAATGGGACTAGAAGATAGGAGACCAAAGGGACTGTACTTAATGAAGAGGAACAGCCTACCTGTGACGACGCGAGAAAGAGACCTGGGCATGGACGTAACATCTATTCTATCTCCTGAAGCCTATATAAATAGGATAACGACAGCAGCGTACTCTACACTGGCAAAAGTTAGATTATCATTCAGAAATCTAAGAAAGGAGGCATTTAGGGCACTTTACACTGCCTACGTGAGGCCAGTCTTAGAGTATGCCGCCTCATCATAGAGTCCCCATCTGAAGAAGCATATAAGGAAACTGGAAAAGGTTCAGAGGTTTGCAACGAGACTCGTCCCATAGTTACGTGGGATGGGGTATGAGGAGCGCCTGAGGGAACTGTGCCTTACGACACTAGAAAGAAGAAGGGAGAGGGGGGACATGATAGGAACGTATAAAATACTCAGGGGGATTGACAGAGTGGAATTAGACGAAATGTTCACACGGAATAGTAACAGAACGAGGGGACATGGGTGGAAGCTGGAAACTCAGATGAGTCACAGGGATGTTAGGAAGTTTTCTTTAGCGTGAGAGTAGTGGGAAAATGGAATGCACTTAAGGAGCAGGTTGTGGAAGCAAATACTATTCATAGTTTTAAAACTAGATATGATAGGGAAATAGGACCGGAGTCATTGCTGTAAACAACGGATGCTGGAAAGGCGGGATCCAAGAGTCAATGCTCGATCCTGCAGACACAATTAGGGAAGTACACACACACCCCAGGAGCAGCCCGTGACAGCTGACTAACTCCCAGGTACCTATTTACTGCTAGGTAACAGGGGCATTCAGGGTGAAAGAAACTTTGCTCATTTGTTTCTGCCTGGTGCGGGAATCGAACCCGCGCCACAGAATTACGAGTCCTGCGCGCTATCCACCAGGCTACCAGGCCCCCTGTGTGTGTGTGTGTGTGTGTGTGTGTGTGTGTGTGTGTGTGTGTGTGTGTGTGTGTGTGTGTGTGTGTGTGTGTGTGTGTGTCATAAACTGAGAGAACTGTTTCTCACTCCGCTGTTTCTCACTCCGTGGCCCAGTGCAACACTCATCAACCATTATCTGGTTCGTTGCAACTCATCTACCTTGAGGTTACCTTGAGGTGATTCTAGGGCTCAGCGACCCCACGGCCCGGTCGTCGACCAGGCCTCCTTGTTGCTGGTCTAATAATGTTGCTGGATCTAATAATAATAATAATAATAATAATAATAATAATAATAATAATAATAATAATAATATTTTATTTAGTAAAAGTACATACATGGATGCAGAGTTACAAACATTCTGATGGATTTATAGATGTAGGTAGTACATACAATACGTAAAGCCACTAGTACGCATAGCGTCTCGGGCAACGGACAATCAAGCTTTGTTTTAATGTGGTGTTGACCTCCGGGCCTAGCAACCTCTGGAGGGTTATTAAGGCCACCACATTTTCTTGCCTCGCCACCAGCATGTATATATTTATCTTGAACAGTCCAGGCCTATAGTAAACTTTCAGTGAGTATACACCGAGAAACAGTATACATACGCCTCTGAATATACATATACACGGAGAGGCAGGGTACCATTCATCGTGCACATGTTCTATGTATAAAGGAGTTTTAACTTCATATAATCTTCAAAGAGGAGCACAAGACACAGAGACATTGTATGTATAAGCGGCCGGGTCAACCAGAAGCATTGTTTCATTTATAACAAAGTACAAAGTACAAGCTCTCTTAACATTAAACCCTTAACTACCGCCCGTGTCAGTTAGTGTACTCTTAACTTTGCAACAACAGACTTTATGTTAATGTATCAATTGTTATACATATATATATATACATATATATATATATATATATATATATATATATATATATATATATATATATATATATATATATATATATATATATATATATATATATATATATATATGAAAATTCGTTAATTTCTTCACTAAGTCGAAGGAGACAAACACGACATTTATAAATGTTAAATCTATAACGATGAACTATGTACAGTTGTTAACCTCAAATAGCCTAAATGGGAAACAAAAAACTAGAGAACATATCTGTGATCATTTTGATTCTGATATTCTTGATTTTTGTTCCTCCTTTTCCAGCAATACAAAAATATGATCACTAATATATATAGAGAGCGAGAGACAGATGTACCCAATGTCCACGTCACAGTCACAGCAGCTGACTGTCATCAGCTGATGTTTGTTATTGTCCACGTCACAGTCACAGCAGCTGGCTGTCATCAGCTGATGTTTGTTATTGTCCACGTCACAGTCACAGCAGCTGGCTGTCATCAGCTGATGTTTGTTATTGTCCACGTCACAGTCACAGCAGCTGGCTGTCATCAGCTGATGTTTGTTATTGTCCACGTCACAGTCACAGCAGCTGGCTGTCATCAGCTGATGTTTGTTATTGTCCACGTCACAGTCACAGCAGCTGACTGTCATCAGCTGATGTTTGTTATTGTCCACGTCACAGTCACAGCAGCTGGTTGTCATCAGCTGATGTTTGTTATTGTCCACGTCACAGTCACAGCAGCTGGCTGTCATCAGCTGATGTTTGTTATTGTCCACGTCACAGTCACAGCAGCTGACTGTCATCAGCTGATGTTTGTTATTGTCCACGTCACAGTCACAGCAGCTGGTTGTCATCAGCTGATGTTTGTTATTGTCCACGTCACAGTCACAGCAGCTGGCTGTCATCAGCTGATGTTTGTTATTGTCCACGTCACAGTCACAGCAGCTGACTGTCATCAGCTGATGTTTGTTATTGTCCACGTCACAGTCACAGCAGCTGGTTGTCATCAGCTGATGTTTGTTATTGTCCACGTCACAGTCACAGCAGCTGGCTGTCATCAGCTGATGTTTGTTATTGTCCACGTCACAGTCACAGCAGCTGGCTGTCATCAGCTGATGTTTGTTATTGTCCACGTCACCGTCGAGTGGCCTCGCCCTGTGTTCCACTCCCATCACACACTGTCCCTTGCCCCATCCCCTCCCTCTCATTGTCTCTTACATCCACTTCCCTCCCTTTACCCCTCCCCTCCGATATCCCACTCCCTTCCCATGCCCCACTTCCCTCCCATTCCCCACTCCCAAACACCCAGTCGATAACGCCCACAGTATGCTAATTGCTTCCGTATATCCACGCCTTCATATGGAAGAACTTAAGAAAGAACACAACTCTTGAAGCCGTAGAGAAGGTAGTGAGCCCAGCAGAAGAGGTCGTCTTCGAAGTATCAGGTGAACTTAAACGTGGAATGAGGTCTCTGGGGGCGCCGGCCTGGGCGTCGGCCGGGGCAGGGACCTCGCCCCGCCCGAGAGACTCCTGCCGATGGTGGCGTGAGCTATGGGGCGAGACGGGTGGGTGTAGGCGTGGGCGTACTGCTGGTCGGTGGGCGGAGGCAGTGGGCGGGGGAGCGGGGCGCGGCCTCAGACCTGCTCGTACTTGGCCCTGTTGATGTTACGGGCGAGGCAGCAGGCCAGCACCACGCCCACCAGCTGTATAGAGGGGACAAGCATTAGACACCCAAGCTGATGTTATTCATAACTCTAGTCAAATTAACCTTGTTAACCTGGCCTAGTTAGGCGACTCTAGCTAAACATGACTACCAGGGTTAGATCAGTGATTCAAACACGAATCTTCTCTATATTTTTTCTTCGCTCGAGAAGGAAGTTGGATATTTAACTGTCTAAAGTTCATTTTACAGTTTTATGGCCTGACGAAAAGAGATGTGTTTAGTTGAACCTGTCAACATTTTCAAAGGCAGAGCTGAAGTAGATACAAGTAAGTGAATGTATAACTAAGAAGGATGAGGTTAAGTAAGGTGTCGGATGGGCCAATAGGCCAGCAGCTACTGTTTCCTTACTTCTTATGTCCATACCTTGACTGGGTCTATCTTTGGTGGATTTCCACATTTCGCAAAAATCAACTCACTCAGGACCAAAATACTCTCTTAAATCTGGAAATAAAGTATCACGTTATGTCCAGAGCAAGTGAGATGGCCCGGAAGGTGGGGCTGGAGACCCTGCTGGACCCTGCTGGACGCCACCTTGAGGCATCATGGAAGGTCACCACCAACGATAGTGCAGCAGAGCTTCTGGAGGAGGGAGGAAAGACTCGAGGCAACTACAGATACACCAGACTCTCCTGACCTCAAAGCGGCAGGTTCAGCTGTGTGTGAGTACGGAAATAGTTGTCAGAAGATATGGTAAATCGCCAATTTACGTCATCCTTAAGAAGGATGAATATTTTGAGAAAATTTACCTCATTCTTTCTGACCAAACTAAATTACGAAAGATCAAGGGATTCTGCTGCCGAATTCAAACCAAAGGTAAACATATTGGTTGAAATTGTTAATGCCAAAATATCTGGACTTCACCGGCGAAAACTATTGGAGAGTATAAGCCTGGATGTTCCTATTGGACTGTCAAGACCTACAAACCTGGAAACCCATTTCGACCCTTCACCAGCCAGATACCCACTCCCACGGACAGACTGACTAACAGACTCAAAGTACTCCTTACGTGTACTTTCAGCCTTAAGTCTCCAAAGGAATTTGTTGACTTATTTCTGGGGTCACGAGCATCGGGCGTGAGATGGGCCCAGGATGTTGAGCTGCTCTTCACCAACCTGCCCGTGGATGAGACTATGGGCATGATGATGGAGACTATTGGGATCCAGTTTGTACTCCGCTGGTCAACGCAGAATGCACACTTAGACAAACACTCGAGGCACTAAAGACGCACCCTTCCTAAGCCCTGATGCTCATACAAATAGATCGTGAAGCCATCGGTTCTAACCATGATAACAAATTAACCCTAGAAATAGTGCTTTAAAAACTCATAGAAAACGAGAGCACAGTGGAAATTTCCTCCAGTAGAAAATGGGGATATTATTGCCACGTCGCTATTCAATTCACCAGCTATATTATTGGGAATTATCCTGAATACAGCAGTCTCTGGACTGTAAACATCATAAAAACATTTCCCTTGAATCAACTAAATTATCAGAATTAAAATAAAGTGAATGTAGGTCTTAACCACTGCTTGACATCTGGACAAAACAGTGTAGGCGTCAGTAGGAAGGAGGCCACAGGGAGTCACCAATTAATTTAACCTGTTTCGCTGCGGCAAATTTAGCTCCGATAATGTATCCTTTTACCAGTGTTATGGGATGTAAAGTGCTTCCATTATCAACACACATTGTCGACAACAAGGTAGATGTTCTTTCCAAAACTCGTCTATTACCTGTTTCACTCCTGCTCAAAAATGTTATAGGTAGAGTGAGCCGGTTAGAATGCGAGGGAAACACAAAACAAGGCCAATATTCCGTGGACCTTATCTCATAAATTATACCCACATTTCCTCTGATATAGCTGTTATATTTAGGATTACTACTATTATTTGTGAGTGCCCTTCGACAGGTGTAATTGAAGAGGAAGAAGTAACACAAGTTACCTTGTACACCAGTACAGGTGTTGATGCCAGTCTCAACCACCAGCATTATTTGGTGGGATCATTCTTGTTCCTAACTGCTGGAGCAGGCCCACTCTACACAGATAAGGCCTTCACATTTAGTTACTAACATATGTAGTTTAATACTGTAGTGAATGTCTACAAACCTATAATTTATATTGATGACTACAAAAATATACCATAAACCCGCCAGAATGTATAAGGAAAGCGATTTGTGAGAATATTAAATCATACAGTCCACTTTAAACATCATAATTTGCTATCGAAAAATATAAATTAACGTAAAAATATGAATTACTATATAAATTAATATAAACTAAATAAATATAAATCTCACAAGTCAATTCCCCACAGTGAGGGTAAACTGGCTCTCCTACATGTAACAGTCTCGGAAAGAAATAGTGACCTTCACACTGCACCAAGGAAGCCAACTTAGCAATGTGTCTTAGTGACCCTTGACAGTACAGGCGAAGTGCTATGGTTTTACAGCATTATTTCCAGGCAAATGTATTGGGGGTTTAAATGTCCAAAATGTACTTAAATGTGAATTGTAAAAAATCACACATATATTGCAGAAGACTAGAGAAAAAAATTGCATTTCTTATCTTAACGGGAGAACCTGTTTTAAAATATTACTAATAAAGCCTCAACCACAGAGTGAACTAATAAGATGACTTGTGCTGATCTTGGTCTACAAGTCTAGGTAACCCAGGAGCAGTTCTGACTCTGACACATCGAAGGTCGACTTCCACATTCAGTCCAGATCTTATTTTAGTTTTCATGAGAAGTTGGAAAATGTAGATTAAGATGTTGTTGGGAAAAGTAAAAGTGAGCGAGAAACCTCTGCTACGCCCAGGCACGACTTGGATATCTTACTCCAGAACATAATACATTCTTTCTGAGAGATTATAACCACTGAAGTCGCTCACAAGGTCAGTAAAGTCTTCTGCAGACGATGAGTGACAATAGCGTGACAAGATACGATGACCGAACCACACGTCAGAAAAGGAAGAAACGACGACGTGTCGGTCCGTCATGGACCGAAAAGTCGTTGTTTCGTCGTCTTCATTTTCTGAGGTGTAATTCGGTCATCAATAAATTCTCTCAGAATATTATTAGTAATAAACAAAAGCAAATACCAATTTTTTATAAGCAATAAAATTTTTTTTTTTATTTCTAACTAGCTTTAAATGTTCTTCAGACACATGTGAAAATATGTGTTAGGTTGGTGTTGCAGCGAGGAGAAGAGTTCCACTAATAAACTTGCCGCCTCTTCTGTACTATAGGCGTCCTGCTTGTCACCAAACGTCTCCAACTTGTCGAAATTGTCTTTCCTTACTTGCCTGCCATAGTTCAAGTTTTATCAGAACATCCTTGAGTTTATTAATAAAGTCTGTGGCAATATGAACCCTTGGCAAAGAATGGTTGAGAATATCTAGGCGAGTAAATATACCAACATGATAGGCAAGAGGTTTAACTGACTTTGAATCACTTAATTTGCATGATACATCTGAAATTCCCTCTTGACTTTACTGCTGAAGAACACTTTCAGCTCGTCCTGTAGTTAAAGCATTCTCTTAACAACATTTCCTCGAGATGACCATCAAAGCTTTGTGTGATAAAAGTGTTTAATGACCAGACTCAAACCCGAGCACAAAATACTGAGCAGGATAGTATTGAGAGCACTTCACTTTATAAACTGACTGTGGTACGAGTCACTTTCTTTAGTTCACTAGACACTAAACTCTGCCTATGTACCTGTAGTGAAAATGTTTTGTCTAATTGTTAACAGTTTCAATTCTTGTTTTAAAGCCCGACAGACTCCCAGCTTATCCAGAGCTCCATCTACTGAGGAAGTACTTAAAGTATGCCACTGTAGTCCCACTATTTGAAGAATGAATGAACTAGTTCACAAATATTTGCACCTATAGTTGAAGCTTCGTGAGGCTGGCAAAAGAGAAAGCCTTCCTTAAAATCCTCCTTCTCTATGTATATCTTTTTTGTTTTTTTTTTTGAGATATATACAAGAGTTGTTACATTCTTGCACAGCCACTAGTACGCGTAGCGTTTCGGGCAGGTCCCTGGAATACGATCCCCGCCGCGAAGAATCGTTTTTTCATAAAAGTACACATTTTACTGTTGCGTTAAACAGAGGCTACAGTTAAGGATTTGTGCCCAGTAAATCCTCCCTGGCCAGGATACGAACCCATAACAAAGCGCTCGGGGAACGTCAGGTGAGTGTCTTACCACTACACCACAGAGACTAACCAAGGCTGAAAGAGGAATGTCGAATCTCGAATGTCAACATCTGCGGTACGTCTGCGGCTTCGTCCAACTGGACACCAAATGTACCGCACGGACTGTTTGTATATCGGAAACAACCAGGCCTCTGAAATCTACGGACTTGTCAACTATACATCACTGGACAGTGTTAACTGATAATGCCAGGGTATGGAGCTACTTACCATATTGTGTTGGGGAACAATATGGTAAGTAGCTCCATACCTTGGCATTATTAGTTAACACTGTCCAGTGATGTATAGTCGACAAAATATGGAGCTACTTACCATATTGTTCCCCAACACAATATCTATTATGCCTGTGTTACATGAAGCCTTTGCCTACACCAGCGTCTCTCCTCTGAGGTGAGGATGACTGCACTCTCACCGCTCCAATATTTGAGTGGTTCAACATGGCTTCCCGGCGCTTGAAGAAGTTCAGATCTTTTCCTTTCTGGTCTCATTCACACTGGAGCTTTACAGTCTATCCTTGGTTGACTGTTGGCTCTTATCACGAGAACACTCAGGCTCACCAAGAAATATTTCCAAGACAAGTTGGTCTGGAAAGGTTCTCCAGTCACCAGTGATCTGGATGTCTCCTGCACTGTAAACCCCTGAGACACCTACAGTAACACTAACCACTGAGACACCTACACTAACCACTGATACAGTAACACTAACCACTGAGACACCTACACTAACCACTAACCTGGAAGCCAGCGAAGCAGAGGGAGCTGACGAGGAGGAGACCCGTACTGGACTCCAGGAACTGGACAACGGTGGAGTAGCAGCCCTGTGGAGTGTGAGAGAGGCGTCACAACCCTTCCCGTCACAGAGGCAACCATTAAGGTGCTTGCCGAACGTTTAAGAGATACGGAAAACATACAAATAAAGATAATGAACACGTCGGTGTTTTTATGTCCTTAATACTACACAAGGGAAAAACAGAACACAACAAAAAGGGCTATGTAGGGCTCCTGTATATATATATATATATATATATATATATATATATATATATATATATATATATATATATATATATATATAGATATAGTCTGGTGTTGACAAAGGCTTTATATCATTTATATATGGATTATCCGCATATATATATATATATATATATATATATAACTGGGCTTAGGCCCACGTGTGCCCAGGTGTGACCTAGTACACAATGACATGATTATTAATATGAAGCAATATTGAAACTTGCCATAGAAAGTGACGAAAGTTATTTTGAGGCAAAGCTGATTTCTCTTACTTATTTACATGTATTATACAACTTTTGTCATACTAGCTTCATGCTTTCTCTTGATAATTTAGTTTTGATTGATAAGACTATCTTAAGACTTCCAGGACCTCCTTACGACCCTCGGTGTGTGAAGCAATTTGATCGTTATCCTAAAATTGTTGTGAGAATATTTCTGGAGCGTGAGACACGGTGGGAGGTCCGTGAGGTGGTCCAGCACCTACCTGAGGGTGTAGGGCGAGGCACACGTTGTCCTGGGCCTCCCTGCAGCAGGAGTCGGGGTAGGGCGTGTCGTGGGTCTGACCAAAGGGCATGGCTACCCAGTCGCTGGCGTTCTGGATGCCGCAACAGTTAAGCTGCAAGAGTGTTGCGCCATGAGTATGTGAGACGTCACAAGCCTCATCCTCTCTATAACCTCCGGGCGCTTAATTAATTTATATTTAATGTCTGTGTTGGAGTGGGTGCGGCCCCCAGGGTGACACAATGTGGGTGAGGCCCCCAGGGTGACACAGTGTGGCTGAGGCCCCCAGGGTGACACAATGTGGGTGAGGCCCCCAGGGTGACACAGAGTGGCTGAGGCCCCCAGGGTGACACAATGTGGGTGAGGCCCCCAGGGTGACACAGAGTGGCTGAGGCCCCCAGGGTGACACAATGTGGGTGAGGCCCCCAGGGTGACACAGAGTGGCTGAGGCCTCCAGGGTGACACAGAGTGGCTGAGGCCCCCAGGGTGACACAGAGTGGGTGAGGGCCCCCAGGGTGACACAGAGTGGCTGAGGCCCCCAGGGTGACACGGAGTGGCTGAGGCCCCCAGGGTGACACAGCTAGCCAATATATTAATATACCATCATTACATACATGCCGTAAACTATAATATTCTTACGGAATCAAATATATATGTTACTGAATACGAAAGAAAGTATTCAGAAAAAAAAGAAAAAAGAAAGCTCAGTTCTTCTCTATGTATATCTATGTTCTTCTTCACTTTAGAATGAAGTTTAGACATTAACTCTCACAAGTTTATTTTACAATTTAATTATGGCTAAGACATATGTTTCGTTGACCTTGTCAACATTGTCAAAGACAGAGTAGAAGTGAATACAGTGTAGGTGGTGTGACTCAGTATATGAGGGAGAGTGAGGTGAAGTACGGCATGGGTCAGTATAGGCCCACTGCACCCTACCGTCTTCTGTGTTCCAATATACAAGGCACGTGACCAATGACGTCACGTTTTTACACAACAGATACTGAAAAATATAGGCAACATGTACCAGGTTAATATATTGTAACAGAAGTGCATTGATAGCGCAGGAGACAAGGAAGTTGAAGATTAACACACACACCTACACACACACACACACTCGGGGGCCTCGTAGCCTGGTGGATAGCGCGCAGGACTCGTAATTCTGTGGCGCGGGTTCGATTCCCGCACGAGGCAGAAACAAATGGGCAAAGTTTCTTTCACCCTAAGTGCCCCTGTTACCTAGCAGTAAATAGGTACCTGGGAGTTAGTCAGCTGTCACGGGCTGCTTCCTGGGGTGTGTGTGTGTGTGTGGGGTGGGGAAAAAAAAAGTAGTTAGTAAACAGTTGATTGACAGTTGAGAGGCGGGCCGAAAGAGCAAAGCTCAACCCCCGCAAAAAACACAACACAACTAGTAAACACAACTAGTAAACACACACACACACACACACACGGGTAGATATGACAGAGCCCGATAGGCTCAGGAATCTGTACACCTGTTGATTGACGGTTGAGAGGCGGGACCAAAGAGCCAGAGCTCAACCCCCGCAAACACAACTAGGTGAGTACTAGGTGAGTACACACACACACACACACACACACACACACACACACACACCAACCGTATTTTGGAGACTATCGACGGCGCTCCTCATGGTGGGGGAGCGGTCGTACTCGGTGAAGGCTCTGGTGAGCCCGTCCTCGTAGCCCACCTTCAGCTGCTTCCTGAAGGCCCACGTGCTCACGCCAGACCCCACCATGATGACGAAGATCACCAGCAGGAAGGCTGCGTACTGCACACCATGTCAGGAGACCATGAGGGGTCACCCCAGGAGACCACGGCAGGAGACCACGGCAGGAGACCATGGGAGGAGACCACGGCAGGAGACCATGGGAGGAGACCACGACAGGAGACCATGGGAGGAGGATTTTTATAATTCGGTGAGAGCCACGAAAATTTGAATAATAGATGATATGAAATGAAAACATCTGTTACGCCCTGACTACAAGACGCATAAACCTTGCTAATATGGTCCATAAATCCTAGTTACAACTTCCTTTCACAATGGAACACATGGCCGCTAAAGCTAGGTACAAAGATTTAAGGACAGCTACCAGGGTTAAACTCTTACCAATGTTATAAGCCTTAACTAAATGTTAAAGGAAAGTATTGAGGAGAACACGTTATGTCATGCTTACTGTTATGACTCCCAGGTAGCCTTGTGAGAGGTATTCTACCCACCTGACTACAGGTAGCAGTCAGGGGGAGGTAGGTAATTAAGTAAACGTTAGTGAAAGATCAGGCTCCTCTGATCTTTCATGGCTGAATAGAGACAGGCAGAAGACGTCTTATGTATGACCCTCTGTCCTGCGTGACAGTGAATACTAGCATTAACCTCAATTTAATAAGACTATCAAAATCCTCAGATTAGGCAAAATTGTAATTAATTTTGTCAATAAAGATGTTAATAATAATAATAAAGGCAGAAGACAAGCCTCTTATAGAAGCTAGATGAATTGAGATGTCGACATTTTGTTACACGTCGTGACGCGGACGGAGGTCGTAACGCGCCACTTGAGTTGCTACAGTCGTCAGAAATAGACGTACGTCAGTGTCTCCTGGGAAGAAAGAAGAATATAGTTCTTGGTTTAGTGTTTGAGTGAAGGCTACTTCTTACAAAGTGTGAGGAAGCTGTCGGGGACGTCGTACGTCATTTGTCAGTGATCGTGAGCACTATTATGGACGACCTGAAGCCTGCGTCCTGCTCGTATCCTGTGTGCACCCTAATGTGAAGTACCCTTCGAGTGGAGGAAAGTAAGCAGGTGTTTCTGTGTGAAACCTGTCAGGCGACATCGTAGCTCAAGTCGGAACTGTGAGAAGGTTTGAGAGACAGTCCAAAAGGATTTTGGTTGACGACCAAGAGTAGCGCCGTGTTGGCGCGCCAGAGGGCAAGTGTGGTCCAACCTAAATTTCTGCGGTTTGTGTGGGAGAAGTTCGTGGTGGAACTTTGTGTCTGATGAAGATTATATAGTGGACCTCCAAGTGTGGAGCTGAACTTAAAGTGTTCAGAGAGAGAGAGAGAGAGAGAGAGAGAGAGAGAGAGAGAGAGAGAGAGAGAGAGAGAGAGAGAGAGAGAGAGAGAGAGAGAGAGAGAGAGAGAGAGACGGTCACAAACAGGTTGAGAGAGGTCAGTAACATAGTGAAAGGGGAGTAGTAGCTCATCCCATAATAAGGAGAGTGGGGGGGGGAGTAATGGGGCTCGACAGGGTGTGTATTCAAGACCAATAGGCCAGATTGGAGCCGACTCCCCAAGTAAATTTGACGTTGATCCCCTCTACGCGTATACAACGCTTTCAGGGTGATCCTCCAATATACACTCCTGCGTCCATTACTGATTGTTTGACGACAGCAGCAGCAGCAGAGTAGTTGTAGTGGTTGGTCTTATTTCATCTAGGAAGTGGTTGGGGTCTCTGACGTTAGTAGGTAAAGTAAAGTTCGGTATCAAGTTTATAAAATCCCCCAATCCCTGATATTACCTAACACACGTAAAAGATGATGGAAAGGATAGGAGCTGGGGGTGGGATGACAGGGTGATGGAACGATGTTCAGCCTGATGAACCACCAGGGATGAAACTCGGACTTGTAAGAAGTAGAGCCGTCGTTCTGCCGACTAGTCCAAGTGTATGGACAAACTAAATGGCAATTGAAGCCCACCGCAATGTCTGTAATGTGACGCTTCAAAGGTCTCATGATCTTAAAAAAAATCATCCTAGTTACAATGTGTTTCATCTCTTGGACTGGTCGTACGGAGACGGCCTCTCTTATTGCAGGTCGGCGTTCAATCCCCGATGGTCGAAGTGGTTGGTTCCTTCAGTCCATCCCCGTTCCTATCCTCTCGTCACATCCCTTCCACGTGGTATGTAGTCATACTGGTTTAGCGCTCTCTCCTCACAATTTCCTCACCTTCCCCAGCTCTTAGTCTGTCACATATCCCCTCCACGTGTTACATAGCCATACTGGCCTTGAACGTTCTCCTCATAATCCCCCTCACAGCTACAAATCCCCGCTTGTCATCCATAAGAAGGCAGTGAGCGAGACACTTACGATGTAGAGGAGCACAGGCTGGCCCTTGGCGGTGCAGCAGCAGGCGAGGAGCCCCAGCAGGAGCATGAGGCCCCCGGTGGCCACCAGGACGTAGGGGGCGGTGGCGGAGAACTCGGCGGAGACCTCCACGTACTTGTACACCTCCACCTTCACCAGGATGCCGGCGGCCAGCATCATGGCCCCCATCACCTGTCCAGGTCACAGTGCAGTCAGGGTTACCAACTCTGCTTCTAATAGGTCATGAAATAACACGTAATGGCGGAATGGAGTTGTGTTAAATGGGGAATAAATACAATTAACTAAATATTCAGATTCAAATCAAATAATATTGATGAATATTATTTAAATTAATATTGATGAATTACCGAGAAAATTGTACTAAGACACATACACGGGAATTAAAGTATATTTTCAGAATCACTGAACAAATCAACACAATTATTTGGACGGGAAATTTTGAAATAAATAATGAGATCATTTACATATATTTTCAACACAAAGAGCATGTAGGTGAATAGAACGTTCGGACTCCTCATCACCAGCATACGGGTGCCGGAATTCTGTGTGTGGGGCAGGTGTGTGCGGCAGGTGTGTGGGGCAGGTGTCTGGGGCAGGTGTGTGTGCAGCGGAAGTGTGTGGCAGGGATGCTGCGTCACATACCTGTAGTCGTCAGATGGCGTCTCTCAGTTTTACACCCCTTGGCTACGTGTGTGTGTGTGTGTGTACTCACCTAATTGTGCTTGCGGGGGTTGAGCTCTGGCTCTTTGGTCCCGCCTCTCAACCGTCAATCAACTGGTGTACAGATTCCTGAGCCTATTGGGCTCTATCATATCTACATTTGAAACTGTGTATGGAGTCAGCCTCCACCACATCACTTCCTAATGCATTCCATTTGCTAACTACTCTGACACTGAAAAAGTTCTTTCTAACGTCTCTGTGGCTCATTTGGGTACTCAGCTTCCACCTGTGTCCCCTTGTTCGCGTCCCACCAGTGTTGAAAAGTTCGTCCTTGTTTACCCGGTCGATACCCCTGAGGATTTTGTAGGTTGTGATCATGTCCCCCCTTACTCTTCTGTCTTCCAGTGTCGTGAGGTGCATTTCCCGCAGCCTTTCCTCATAACTCATGCCTCTTAGTTCTGGGACTAGTCTAGTAGCATACCTTTGGACTTTTTCCAGCTTCGTCTTGTGCTTGACAAGGTACGGGCTCCATGCTGGGGCCGCATACTCCAGGATTGGTCTTACATATGTGGTGTACAAGATTCTGAATGATTCCTTACACAGGTTCCTGAACGCCGTTCTGATGTTAGCCAGCCTCGCATATGCCGCAGACGTTATTCTCTTTATGTGGGCTTCAGGAGACAGGTTTGGTGTGATATCAACTCCTAGATCTTTCTCTCTGTCTGTTTCATTAAGTACTTCATCTCCTATTCTGTATCCTGTGCCTGGCCTCCTGTTTCCACTGCCTAGTTTCATTACTTTGCATTTACTCGGGTTGAACTTCAACAGCCATTTGTTGGACCATTCACTCAGTCTATCCAGGTCATCTTGTAGCCTCCTACTATCATCCTCTGTTTCAATCCTCCTCATAATTTTTGCATCGTCGGCAAACATTGAGAGGAACGAATCTATACCCTCTGGGAGATCATTTACATATACCAGAAACAGTATAGGTCCAAGGACTGACCCCTGCGGGACTCCACTTGTGACGTCTCGCCAATCTGAGACCTCACCCCTCACACAGACTCGTTGTCTCCTGTTGCTTAGGTATTCCTCTATCCACCGGAGTACCTTCCCTCTCACTCCAGCCTGCATCTCCAACTTTCGCACTAGCCTCTTGTGGGGCACTGTATCAAAGGCTTTCTGACAATCCAAAAATATGCAGTCTGCCCACCCTTCTCTTTCTTGCCTTATTTTTGTTGCCTGGTCGTAGAATTCAAGTAACCCTGTGAGGCAGGACCTGCCATCCCTGAACCCATGTTGATGCTGTGTTACAAAGTTCCTTCGCTCCAGATGCTCCACTAGTTTTTTTCGCACAATCTTCTCCATCAGCTTGCATGGTATGCAGGTTAGGGACACTGGCCTGTAGTTCAGTGCCTCCTGTCTATCCCCTTTCTTGTATATCGGGACTACGTTAGCTGCTTTCCAAGTATCTGGCAGTTCCCCTGTTGCCAGTGATTTGTTATACACTATGGAGAGTGGTAGGCTCAGTTCTCTTGCTCCTTCCTTTAGAACCCAAGGGGAGATTCCATCTGGGCCTATAGCCTTCGTCACGTCCAACTCTAGTAAACACTTCCTTACTTCCCCACTGGTAATCTCAAACTCTTCCAGTGGTTCCTGGTTAGCTATTCCCTCACTTACCTCTGGAATTTCTCCTTGTTCTAAGGTGAAGACCTCCTGGAATTTCTTATTCAATTCCTCACACACTTCCTTGTCATTTGTAGTGAATCCTTCCGCCCCTATCCTTAATCTCATAACCTGTTCCTTTACTGTTGTTTTTCTCCTAATGTGGCTATGCAACAATTTAGGCTGAGTCTTTGCCTTGCTTGCGATGTCATTTTCGTATTGTCTTTCTGCCTCTCTTCTCATCCTGACATATTCATTCCTGGCATTCTGGTATCTTTCTCTGCTCTCCAGTGTCCTGTTATTCCTATAGTTTCTCCATGCCCTTTTACTTTGCTGCTTAGCTAGCCTACATCTTTGATTAAACCATGGGTTTCTCATCTTCATTTCTCCGTTTTCCTTTTGGACTGGGACAAACTTGTTTGCTGCGTCCTTGCACTTCTGCGTGATGTAATCCATCATATCTTGGGCCGTCTTTCCCCTGAGCTCTGTTTCCCATGCTATATCTGTTAGGAATTTTCTTATCCCCTCATAGTTTCCCTTTCGGTATGCTAACCTTTTGGTTTCGGTATCCCTCCTCGAGTTCAATAACCCTTCTTCAATCAAGTACTCAAACACCAGTACACTGTGGTCGCTCATTCCTACTGGGTCCTCAAAACCGATTTCTCTTATGTCGGAGTCGTTCAGAGTGAAGACTAGGTCGAGTCTCGCTGGTTCGTCATTGCCTCTCATCCTTGTGGGTTCTCCGACATGCTGCGTTAAAAAGTTGCTTGTCACCACCTCCAATAGTTTGGCTCTCCACGTATCCTCGCCTCCATGCGGTTCCTTGTTCTCCCAGTCAATCTTTCCGTGATTGAAGTCGCCCATGATGAGCAGGTGGGATCTATTTCTACAGGCAGCAGAGGCTGCCCTCTCAATTATAGTGTTAACTGCCTTGTTGTTGTTTTCATACTCTTGACTGGGTCTCCTGTCATTTGGTGGAGGGTTGTATATTACTGCTACTACTATTCTTGGTCCTCCCATTGTTATGGTGCCTGCTATGTAGTCTCTGAACTCCTCACAGCCCGGGATGGCCATCTCCTTAAAACTCCATTCCCTTCTCATGAGTAGGGCCACTCCGCCTCCTCCTCTACCTTCCCTCTCTTTCCTTATTACTGTATACTCCTGGGGAAACACGGCATTCGTTATGATTCCAGAGAGTTTTGTTTCAGTGAGTCCGATTACATCTGGGTTAACTTCTTGTGCTCTTTCCCTTAGTTCACTTGTCTTGCTTGTGATCCCATCTATGTTCGAGTACATCACCCTGAAACTGACTCTCTTCTGCTTCTTTTCTGGGGGGGACCTTTGGGATCTGGGGTGAGTGGGAGCTGGGGGGACCTGGCACGGGGGATTGGTGGAGGAGGGAGGGCTTGGGGTGGTGGGGGAGAGGGGGAGGGTACAGGGGGTGGATAAGAGGGGGAGGGTACAGGGGGTGGATAAGAGGGGGAGGGTACAGGGGGTGGATAAGAGGGGGAGGGTACAGGGGGTGGGTAAGAGAGGGAGGGTTGGGGAAGCATGGGGGGAGGAGAGGCTGTGGGGGATAGGGGAGATGGGGGGGCTTGGGGGAAGAGAAAAGGGTGGAGGGCTTGGGGGCGTGGGGGAAAAGGGAGGGCTGAGGTGGGTGAGGAAGAGGGGAGGGTTTAGGGGAGTGGGGGAGAGGGGAAGACTTAGGTGGGGTGGGGGAGAGTGGGGGGCTTAGGGGGGAGGGGGAGAAGGGAGGGCATGGGGGTGGGAGAGACGGGAAGGCATGTGGGAGAAGGGAGGGCATGGGGGATGGGGGAGAAGGGAGGTCCTGGGAGAGGGGTGAGGGGGAGAAGGGGGTGAGTGGGGGGTGGGGGGTGGGTGGGGGGAGGGTGCCCTAGGTGGGTACGGGGGGTGGGTGGGGGGAGAAGTGTGTGTGTGGTGTGTGTGTGTGTGTGTGTGTGTGTGTGTGTGTGTGTGTGTGTGTGTGTGTGTGTGTGTGTGTGTGTGTGTGTGTGTGTGTGTGTGTGTGTGTGTGTGTGTGTGTGTGTGTGTGTGTGTGTGTGTGTGTGTGTGTGTGTGTGTGTGTGTGTGTGTGAGTGTGCACGTGAATGTATTTAAAGAGACATGATGTGTTTCAAACCATTCACCATGTATTTCGAAGACTAATAAAGTGCTAACTTAGACTAGCCAGAACATCTTCCATATCACCTGTGACTACGACACAAACACAACAACAAATGAACACCAGTTATCTTTCCTGAGTCCAAACATCAAATTAGTAATGTCTTTAAGAAGAATATATATTAAGATGCTCCATGAAGAGGCTTAAAACTTTTCTCAAGATTTCAATAACCTTCGCTCGCTCTTATCCCAGCGTCCTGACCCGGAATTATTGATTAATAGAGGCTCCAGCGCCGCCCCCTCACCGCTGCCAGACGCACAAGGCACATCAATTACATAAGGTATTATTCCCCAATAATTTATAAATACATCATTACATGAAAAGCAAAAACATCTATATCCATACTATTAGGAAGCCATCATAGTATCTGGGACCCTTTTCTGTGTTGAGTAGGTGAATTTCTGGATCAGGACTCAGTTGTTTAGTGTTTACAAGTCTCTCCTGGGTGTTTGGCGCCAAATACCGGATGTTTTCCCACGCAAGTATCGTACAGGACGAATCCCGGAAATGTGGTATTATTGACGGAGAAATTTACATGCCAATGCTTGTGATTCCATTGCTTTACATGCAAATGCTTGTGCGCTAAACGATGTGTTTATCGCTGGCCTAATCAGGAGTTGCTGTCTTTCCTTTCAAAAGTATAACGTATAAATATGCCTTTAAT